TAGGGGAAAGGGTTCATTAAAAAGGAATTTCTTTTGATTATAAATATTTTATACAAGAAATTATTCATAAAAATTAAAGGGCTATTTTGATTATGCAAATTGCACCTTTATCCAACCAAAATATTGAATTCCTTAATATTGCCTCATATCAGGCTGAATATTGATCTGAAACCACCATCCTGAGCTGGAAAACTTAGACGCTAACTAGTTCCATCTTATACTGATGGACTCATTTAATCAGGATTGACTTTGTTCATGTTAAGTTGTCAAAGTCACAATGTTAAAGACTCATGAAACAAAGATACTTTCAAACTCTTTATTCAGAAGAAAATCAGTTTAAAACATGTCCTGATGTCTGACCAGAACATTTCCACCAATCAGGAGTCAGATCAGTAAGTAGAGCTTCTGGTCCAGAGCAGCAGCTCAAACTGCTCAGTAACAGCAGCATCCTCAGCCTGGAACACTCTGGAACCACAACAGAGCAGCCATTGGTTGGAGAAAAGGTGCAATAAAGCCATTTCTAACAGCTATCAGAGACCTTCTGACCTCCAGAATCCACAGAACCAGGACCAGCACCGTTAGAACCAGCTGACCGTCCAAAGCAGAGACTGACCACCGACTGGTTCACAGCCAAACCTCCACCAGGACCACTGGAACCAAACAGCTTTATGTTACCTGGAAAAGAAAATGAAACATTTGCAGATGGTCAGAATCAGAGTCTTAAAGTGTGTGGATAAATTGTCAAAAATGCAGCTGGAACCTGAGCACCAAACAGTTTCAGGTTGTCAGAGTTTGATAAACACCAGCTTCTTCTGTCTTGCCAATGAGCAAGAAAGAGTGGAAAAATACTTACCAAAAGATCCAAATCCCAAATGTGGCCCCTTAGACAAATGTTAATTTTATTTAGCTATTAACCAACTTTACATGCTGTAACTACACCCCAGAATCAGAACACTGAAAACTTTGATAAAATTAGGCTTTGTGACACAATAAAACAGTTTAAATTACATTACAACCTTATTTCATGTTAAAGAATTACAATTAAACTACACTTCCATTTATTCCTTTCAAAATAAAGGACTTTTAGAGGTTCCCTAGAGTAAATTCTTCTGGTAAAGCCTCAGATCAGCGGCTTTGAATTTTCTTTTTAGGCTCAGACACTGGAACAGAAAGACAAGGAACATTAGATTCACTCAGAAACAAAAAAAACAAACAATTTGCAGGTTGAGTTGTGGCACATGTTCATTCTTACCTTTTTAAACAGGTAAACCTGATGAACAGCAGCTTCTTCTGTTCCTGGTGAACAAGTGGAGAGGATGTTCAGGTTAGTGTGCATCACAATTTAAAACCAGAAAGGAGCCAACTGTGCAGGTGTGGAACAAACCTGGTTACCTGTGCAGCTCTGTAGCTAACAGGACAGATCTGCTCTAGGGAGCTCCACCTGGCCACCCAGCTGCCTCCTGATGCTGGAAAAAACAGAAATTTGCAGGTTGAATTGTTGCTGTTGCACATATTCATTCCTCCCTTCTTAAACTGGCAAAACAAGTTTAAGAAACACCAGATTCATCTGTTCCTTGTAAAGGATTATTAAAGAGGGGAGAAATACTTACCAAAAACAAAAAACCTCCAAATGTGGCCCTAATACTCCACACAGGAAATATTAACTTAAAAGTAGACAAAACAAATTGTAATTTTATTTGGATATTAACCAACTTTACCTTCTGCTCACGTGCTGCCCTCCTGTGGTCACATGCTGTAACTACACCCCTGAATCAGAACGCTGAAAAGTCTAAAAAAATTGGATAAATTTAGGCTGTGTGACGGAACAGTTTAAATTATATTACAACACTATTTCATGTTGAAGAATTACAATTACGCTACACTTCCATTTATTCCTTTCAAAATAAAGGACTTCTAGAGGTTCACTTTTTAAAAGAGGTAATTTTCTAAGAGTAAATTCAGCTGGTAAAGCCTCAGATCAGCTCAGCTGGCTTGAAACTTCGGTTTAGGCCCAGACACTGGAACAGAAAAGAAAAGTTAACACTATATTCACTCAAAAAACAAAAATTAGCAGGCTCAGTTGTTGCCGTTGCTGTTCATTCTTACCTTTTTTAACTGGTAAACCTGATAAACAGCAGCTTCTTCTGTTCCTGGTGAACAAGTGGGGAGGATGTTCAGGTTAGTGTGCATCACAATTTAAAACCAAAGACACTTTCAAGCCAACCAGAAAGGAGCAAACAAACAAACAAACAAACCTGGTTACCTGTGCAGCTCTGTAGCTAACAGGACAGGAAACCTGGCCTCAGGTTTGGGACCCCAGCCCTCAGTCTGGACCCGGCCTGTAGGACCTGTGGACAGCAGCTTTTAGTCAGACTCACCTGAACACGCGGAGAGCGCGAGACAAACGCAGCTCACGCGCCCCCAAACGTCCTTATTCCCTCCGCCAGCCACGTTCCCGCCCACTAATCTGCTCACCTGCTCTGCAGACACACCTGGAGCCCATCAGCCGCTGATTGCAGGCCGGCAAATTGTAATTTCCTAACTGTACATTCTGCTCGTAAAACCATTTATCAATCAGATCAGGTGACCGGAAGATTATAGTGATTTTACATCTGATCCATACTCCAGTCTAGAAGGTGGCGGTAATGCACCTAAAAGTTGTTTGCCAACCGCCATAAAAAAAAACAAGAAGAAGAAGAAGAAGAAGAAGATCAGGTGACCTGAAACTTCTGTTTAGGCCCAGACGCTGAAACAGATTATTTAATCAAATTTTCTCCTTTCAACGGCAGATTTGATCGAGTCAAACATGTTAAAAGGAAGAATAACCGATCATTTACTTCCAGATACTGGTTCAGTGAGTGGAATATATAACTAGTTTGCTGCTGTTAGTAATATCATTTAGACAAAACAACCCTCGAAACTTTGAGTTTTTAATTCTTCAAATGAAAACGATCATTCCTCTGGTGGTGGTTCCCCTTCGGAGGGCCAGCAGGTGGCGGTAAAGCTGTCCGTCAGCTACCGTTAAAGCAGGCGTAGAAGAAGAACGTGTCGGTCACGTAATGCTAACAATGGCAGCTTCTGCAGAACTTCAGATGGATCAGCTTCCTTCAGACCCTCTGTTGCACGTTTTGTCCTACCTGAGCTTCCGGGATCTGGTCCAGTATGTATCCGACAGCCTGCCGAAACACAAAAAGCAGAATGACGACAAACTACGTTTGTTTCCCCTCACGCGGAAACGTAAACAAACTGCAGGAGGCTAGCAGCTGCGCAGCTAACAGAGGTTCATCCCAACGGCAGAAGCTAGTTAGCTTAGCAAGTAGCTGCTGTTTTTGCGCTCTTCTCTCTAAAGGGAACGTTATAAACATCATTTTCAGATGTTTACAGTGTCTAGTAGTTTCGAGAAGACGGAAACTTGAGTTGTCTTACGTCACCGAGCTAACATGGCGACTTTAAAATACTCAGAAACGAGATAAAGATCTTGTTTACAGTTAGCCGCTTGCTAACAGCTGCTCGCTGTTTGTTGACGTTTGTCTGTTGATGATTAACTAACGAATTCATCCAAGTTTAAAGGGGCTAAAATCAACCCTGCTGACATTTCCCGTCATAATGGTAATATTTATGACTATTTAAAGTGTTTACATTTGGAAAGAAGGACGGTTATGTTTTCTTATGTGGACACACAACACCAATATGAACAAACGGTGCATTTAAAACTAATCACACAACAGAAATAAATGCTCATTTGCAGAAAAGTGCATCGATACAGTAAGTGTGATTTTGTAAAGTACACACAGGTTTTGATTTACTTAAATATTAACAGTATTTTGACATTTTAATGTAGAAAAACTATTCATGACTGTAGAACACAATTAAACAAATGTCCAGTTTCAGCCTGTAGCATCAGTGTTTCAAAGCACTTTATGTGCTTTAGAGAAGTAGATGTTAAAATGCTTTTGTTGCTCTATATCCCCCCCCCAGCTGCAGCTATGTGAGCCGGAGGCTGAACGAGCTCTCCAAACACAACCCTCTGTGGAAGTCCCTCTGCTGCAAACACTGGCTGCTGACAGAGTGAGTCCTCTGGAGCTCGATTAACCCCCCTACACACACGGTCCAGACTCTCATATACGTGTGTGTGTGTGTGTGTGTGTGTAGTGCTGACCGGCTGCGCAGCGGCCTGTCCTGGTCCGGCCTGTTCCGGCAGCACTACCTGGACCTGGGCCGCTACATCCAGCACTACGCGGCGCTGAAGCGGGCCTGGGAGCAGCTCAAGAGCTTCCTGCAGCAGAGATGTCCGCGCATGATCACCTCACTCAAAGGTCAGACACCCCCCCCACCTCCCCACCCCACTCCCCGTGCTGACCACCCCGTGTCTCCCCTCTCCAGACGGGGTCACCGAGCTGGATCTGGACAACGTGGAGGCTCAGATCGGCTGCAAGCTTCCCGACGACTACCGCTGCTCCTACCGGATCCACAACGGCCAGAAGCTGGTCATCCCAGGGTCCGTGTTTATGTTTATGCATCTGGCAGACGCTTTTATCCAAAGCGACTTACAGAGTAGAGACAATATTCCATTTCTCATCACTATGACAATAAGCTGTACAGAGGAGAAACCCTGATCAGAGTCAGCGGTGAGATAGAGATAGAGGTAGAGGGACTACAGAAGGAGCTGAGGTACGGGTTAGGGTGGAGTAAGCTGAGGGGGGGGGGGCAACATGCAGGTGAAAGGCTGGAATATTATAATGAGCTTGAGCTAATGACGTCAGAAACTACCCACTCCTGAAACCTCCTGATTTATCTCCTGGATTCAGACTGAGGCGGCCCACAAAAACATGACTGAGTCATTTTTTTTCACACTTTGCCTGCTGATAGGCCCTCCACAGTCCCAAATGTACACAATCGAATAATTAAAAACTTGGTTTTCCATAACACGTCCCCTTTAAGCACTTTGTAGGCTAGCATCAGGTCTGCCCCCGCCCCCCCAGGACTGACCTCCTGTCTCTCTGTGCCTCCCCAGGCTGATGGGCAGCATGTCCCTGTCCAGCCACTACCGGTCGGAGGTTCTGCTGGACGTGGAGACGGCGGCGGGCGGCTTCCAGCAGAGGAAGGGCATGCGGCGCTGCCTGCCGCTGACCTTCTGCTTCCACACCGGGCTCAGCCAGTACATGGCCGTGGAGGCCGCCGAGGGCCGCCGGAAGTGCGAGAGCTTCTACCCCTGCCCCGTGCGTGCCCCCCCCCCCCCGGTGACCCCACCGGTCAGAACAAACGCCACAAAGGCTGTGAGGCCTGATGGCTGTCTGTGTTTGTCTCTGCCTCCAGGACCAGACGGCTCAGGACCCCTCTGCCATTGACATGTTCATCACAGGTCTGACCCCAGAGCACTTCCTGTTTAAAGTAGCCTCAGATTCATTTCAAAGTAGGCTGGTCCCGGTCCGATATCTGGATCAGATCGGCCGCCGATATTTGCAAAAAAATGATTATCAGCCGACAAGAGAAAATGCAGATCCAGACTCCAGATCCAGTTTGTGTGATCCCACACAAGCATTAGCATTAGCATTAGCATCTGTAACCCACAGGTCTGTGTCCAACCATTAAGTTGTTATCAGAGTAAATCCCTGTTCAACATGAGTCTGACAACTAAGTAAGTAGATAAATAACTTTAACCTTTAAGACAAGCTCTGATAGGCTGGGATCGGGACATTCCTATTTCTAAGTAGGAAATAATTGTGACTTTTGTGTGATAGTCGTCAGCCGAGGCTCCGTTTCCCAGTGGACTGAGGGCAGAATGGGGCTGAGTCTGTTGTTGTTGTTTCAGGCTCCTGCTTCCTGGAGTGGTTCACAGCCTACGTCAGCAACGTGGTGACCGGGGAGTTCCCCATCATCAGAGACCAGGTCTTCAGGTGGGCCTCCGCCGGGCCCCCGGCCCTCTGCCCCCGGCTGAAACAAGCTGGAGCTGACTGTGTGTGTGTATCTGTGTGTGCCTCTGTATGTGTGTCTCTGTGTGTATGTGTGTGTGTGTGTGTGTAGGTACGTGCACGATAAGGGCTGCGTGGCCACCACCGATGACATCACCGTCTCCGTTTCCACCTCCTTCCTGCCCGAGCTGTCGTCCGTCCACCCGCCACACTTCTTCTTCACCTACCGCATCAGGTAAGTGCGAGCATGCCCCGCCGCCATCTTGCCGCCACCTCGCCGCCATTCGGCTCTGACCCCGGAACGCCGCCTTTACAGGATAGAGATGTCCAGCAGCGCCTCGCCGGACGCCGCCTGCCAGCTGGACAGCCGCTACTGGAAGATCACCACCTCCGACGGCAACGTGGAGGAGGTGCAGGGGCCCGGCGTGGTCGGTAGGTCCCGCCGGCCGCCGCACGGCCGCCTCCCATTGGCTGTCGGCAGCCAATCAACGAGCAGGTCTTTTTCAGGAGAGTTTCCTGTGATGGTGCCGGGAAAGGTGCACGAGTACGCCAGCTGCACCACCTTCTCCACCCCCTCTGAGTACATGGAGGGCCACTACACCTTCCACAGGCTGGGTGACTGACACACACACACACACACGTTTTCATTATATATATGAGGACGTATGACGGAAACAGGACAAATGGGTCCGTTCCTTTCCAAAGCTTCTACAGGTCTGAGAATCCCAGAGTTTCCTATCCATGAATTCAGGAAAACAATAATCTATTGAGATTTTAGCTACAGCAAACTTTTGCTCACATCTGTTTTTTATGCGACATTATCTGGTTTATATAACTTATGAGGACTATAAGCTTTCACACAGGTATTTAATGTCTAGGTGAACTGTTCTGATGTTTACTTGCTCTCTTCCTAGCTAACAAAGAGGAGGTTTTCCAGGTGGCCATCCCCCGCTTCCACATGGTCTGCCCCCCCTACAGGGAGCCGTCGGGTCGAACGGTGAGAGTCTCCTCAGAACCAGTAAAAACGTTCGGCTTTTTGAGGCAGACCGTTTCTAACCTTTCTCTCCTCTCCGGAGCAGAAAACATCGACGGCCTTCACCTCCAGCTTTGAGGACGACGAGGACTTCTTCTACGAGGAGGACGACGACAACGGGGACGACTTCAGCAGCCTGCGGGGGATCAACATGGCCGCCCTGGAGGGGGCGCGCTGCCCCAGGCACATCTGACCTCTGACCTGAAGCAGGGGATTGTGGGACGGCATCAAAGAGCCACAGAGACAGAATCAGTTGTACTTCCAGCTCCAGGTCCGTTCTGGATGAGCTGGGGCAGACGGGTGGGAGGCCGGACCTGCTGAGTTACTGAGGCCTCTGGGAAAGCTTTCCGGTTGGTTTCCCTTCAGCCTCAGGACGCCGTGCAGATCGGGAGGCTGAGGTCTCCCTTTAAGGACAAGTTCCAAAACATGTTATTCTCTTTTGGCCGGGGTCAGCCTAACTCTGAAACCTCTGTGTGTGTGTGTAACAAATGGCTGTTTTCATTGTTTTGTTTGATTTTTACAGCTTAGCTACAAATCTTATGCTAAAAAAAACACCAAAAACTGTTTGTGGGAGCCAAACGCTAGTTTGGGCTTGGTTTTCCTCAAAGTCATTAAATGAAAAAATAGGGTCTGTTACTGCTGACGAACCTGCTCTCCTGGTGTTGATTTCTGTGGTAAATCTGGACTAAAAGGCTGTGAGCTCTGCTTGTGTGGTCACATCCTGGTGTCATATTTAGAGCCGTGCGTCAGCCTGAGCCTGGTTTAAGAGTAGGCGGGTCCAAAACCTGCTGCTGTGCCACAGAACACAGTGTGTGGAGAGTTTCTGGACACCTGGAAACCTTCAGGCGTCCTGATGGCCGACCAGCCCCGGCTGGACGCCACGCTTTGGGTCAGCTGAAGCTGCGTTTGCTGTGGATCATAGCTGTAGTTTTCTTTAAATCCATCCTAAATGAAAGGAGAGGTGGGAACAGCTGGGCTTTTGTTTTTGATAAAGTGTGTTCAGATCATGAATCCTAAAGATTTCCTTCCTGTGTCTCCAGAGGAGGCTGGATGCTCTGAGGGGTTGATTTTTTTGTATCTTTGACCTGAATAAATAAGATTGAAAACACTTGGCCTCCTTTTCTTTCCTCTCTGATGACTTTAAACCAAATTTCATGAATGTCAAAACGACTTCTTACAATCCTCCTCCTCGTGCGTTCAGCCGGCAGCTCTTTGGGAATCATCAGAAATCCTGTTTCCTGTCTGTCAAACTGGGTTTTCTTTGGCATTTTTCACACATCAGCTAAATAAACGGGAACAAATAATGGGTGTTTGTGACATGCATGTGGACCTATTATATAATTCTTTCTTCTATGAGGCAAAGAAATAAATTATAATTAAATTATATATACTTTTCTATATATACTAATATATACTTTTCTATATATACTGCTACTACTACTTTTTATATATACTATACTTTATAAATACTTTTCTTTCTGGAGGACAACTTTACTCATTAATTTATCTATATTTGCATTTCACACTTCATGAATAATAATATATTAAAATAGAAAACACTTCATATAAGGGCCATTGAGGAAAATTCAGGTTGTCAATTTGCTCAGAAATTAACATTTTAAAAGAATTTGATAATACAACAAATATATATATATATATTCTTTTCTTATAGTGATACCACGAGAAGAACTGTTAGCATCACACACAATTAAAAAATAAGATTTTCTAAAAGTTTCAGCAACTTCGCCAAATCCTCACTTTGACACATGAACATTTGACACATTGAAAATAGAGAGTGAAAACCCTTCGGCTGGTGGAGGTTTCTTAGTTATCTCACCTGTAGAGTCCTTATCATCCTCTTTGTCCCGGGAGTTACACCACAAAGCAAAGTTCCAACTAACCGCAGCTAACAGGCTAACGAGCTTTAACAAATTCCATCTTTATTATTTTTCCACCCACCTGCCGGCCCCAATAACTGTGTTTGGCCTGTGAGAAAGTGTTAACTTGTTTGGAGAATAATAGAAAACCGCTTTAAGACTCCGTGTGATCAGCATCCACCTGGTAGCTTCAGAGAAGCGCTTACTTCCGTGTTTACTTCCAGCACAGCCAATCGGCTGCCTCGCGTATCTTGGAATCAACCAATAAGAGTTGGCCTTCTCTTCATACTCTCGATAACGCTCTGAGTATCGTGAGATCTGCTGTCTTACTTTTTCTAGTATACTTTTTTGTTTCCGTCCTTCTTTCTTTCTTTCTTTTTTATTCTTGTTTACCTTTTTTTTTGTTTGAAATTAATAGCTATTTTTTAAATTCAGAAAAAAAGTCATTTTTCATTTTATTCTGAACAAATGTCCTTCAATAGCTAATAGATGGAGCATTTTATAAGGTTCTTTAATAAATGAAAATTGGATTGCCAAGAAATTAGAATATTTAAAGCATCTGCTTGGTTCGGTTCTGGCTGCACAGTAACTGGGTCACCAGCAAGGTGATTAATGAAACTATTTCTGTCACATAAACAGCTCCCAATGGACATTACAACATCTCCCATCATCCCATGCAACCGGTGGATTTACCTGACCGTTTCGGGTTCCCTGATCCGCCACCTGATTCAACTTCAGGAGGCGGTCCTGCTGCTCTAGGGCTTTCATTGGCATCCTGAAACATTTACCACAACTTAACCCGTTCTTTTGATGTGAAATACATAGATTGATCATTTTAATGCAATCTAACAAGCAACAGCATTTTCATCTGTGGAGTCTTCCAGGGGATGATGGGTAAGAGAGGAAGAGCCATGATTTTCTGCAGCAGTCAGACATTTTTTACGTTCTTTTCTGCCCTTCCGGGTCACTTCTGGGCAGTTGACTGTTTATTTTGAGTCAGATCTGAGCAAAAGAATCAATCTAATATCTGCAGTGTGAATGGAAGCTAAGAGCGCTTAAATCCAATTTACTGGACAGATCCCATGTTTGGACCTGATCACATTACTCTGTTTAACTGGACCAAATCAGATTCCGGTGTGTGAATGGTACGCTCCAACTTCTAACATCTGCATTTCCCTAAACAGACCCAGAGACGTGGTGACCACTGAGAGACAAAACCACTGTGCAGGACTCACTTCCTGTTCTGACCCTCCAACAGCTCAGGCTGATGTCCGGTCCTAATGTGATCTTTGTTAAGGTCAGAGGTCACTGAAACGATGTCCTGAAGCGGGATTGAGTCAGTTTCCATGACAAAAGCAAAAAACTCATCCAAACCGAAGCCCGTACTTTGTGGTGGTGTGTAATTGTGTTTGTGTGGTTGATAACAGCCCTCAGCAGAGATGTGGGGCTCTGTGAGAGAGAGCGGGAGGGGGTGGTCCTCCTGGAGGGAGGAGGGAGAGGAGACGCACACAGAGGCAGGATCAGAGTTTGAACTTGTGTTTTTCCTGTGGATTCACTCGTCTCACACACACTTTTGAGTGTGTGCGCGTTCCGGAGGCTGGGCGAGCGAGGTCAGCATGCTCTGCTGCAGAGGTGAGAGAGTGCCTGTGTGTGTGTTCTCCAGATTAACGCTGATGTGGTCCTTTGTGGGGCCGTTGCTACGGTTACGGCTGCTGTCAGAAAAGCGCTGTGTTGACGGGGAGGCTCGTGGCAAACGTTGTGGGTCAGGAGACACGCATTCCTCACTCTGTGTCGAGGTGTGTGTTAATGACTGCTGGCCTGTCGAGGCAGGC